CCCCTCCCAACTAAAACCCTACCTATCACATACCTTTCTGCTCCCCCTGGATGGTGAGGCCTTCCATAGTGTGTCATCAGAGTCTATCATACCCTAGGATATGGGCCTAGGCCCATCCCATGTGTCTTGGCTCAGGGAGTATTCCTTTATGTGGAATGGGCTCCCAAAGTCCACACCTATGCTAGGGATAAGTACTGAACTACTTCAGGAGGTCCTGTAGATTACCAAGATTTCCTCAATGAAACCCACGTTCCTGGGGTCTGGATCAGTCCCATGCTGGTTTTCAGGCTATCAGTCTGGGGAGCAAGAGTTCCCTGATGTTTAGGTCAGTTGTTTCTGTGGGTTTCACCAGCCTGGTCTGGACCCCTTTGCTCTTCACTCGTCCTTCTCTGTATCTGGGACTCCAGTTCAGTTCAGTGATAAGTTGTGGGTGTCGGCTTCTACTTCCACCAGCGGCTGGATGAGAGCTATCGGGTGACATATGTCAGTCATCAATCTCATAATCAGGGGAGGGCATTTAAAGTAGCCTCTCCTCTGTTACTTAGATTGTTAGCTGGTGTCATCTTTGTAGATCTCCAGACATTTCCCTAGTGTCTGATGTCACTGTAACCCTAAAATGTCTCCCTCTATTATGGTATCTCCATTCTTGTTATCTTCTATTCTTCCCCTGACTCAACTTTTCTGCTTCCCTCATGTCCTCTTCATATCCCCTCGCCTTCTCTTCTCATTCTCGTAGCTCCCTTCCCCTTCTTCCTGTGCTCTCAATTTGCTCAGGGGATCTTGACCCTTTCCCCTTCTCCAGGGGACCATGTATGAAGAGACAGTCTCTTACTTTGTAGCCTGGGCCAGTCTCTAGCTCAGAGAAATCTTTCTATTTCAGTTTCCCAATACTAGAATTATAGGTGTGAGCCACCATGTCCTGCTTGGAATTCTTAAATATTCAAAAGTGTGTATTATCATTATACTTTCGTTCAAACTTTTATTTGAAATTTGGATAAATAATAAATCAATACCACAAACATTCAAACATCATTTTGAGTTCACCAAATTGTGCTTTCTCTCTTTTTCATATTCTTTCTACATTATTTGGAAATGTGTTGAACATTGTATATAACCTTTTGTTCCTAGAATGTCAACATTAACCCAGACTCTTAGAAAAAGTATTATCATAAAAACTATACTGAAAAGCAAGGTGACTACTCTAAATTAAGATTCATTGAAGTTTAAAAGTCCTGTTTTGCCTTTGAGTTATACAAAATATGAGATGTGATAGAATAATTTTTGGTTCTTTTAGCCATCGATTGCCAGTGGCCATGTCAGAAGAGCAGCAGGTGGCAATTGAAGTTCAAGGTGCCAGCCCACCGGGAGGAAACTCTCAGATGGGTGAATCTCATTTAGGCAAGGCCATGGGACTACAAACCCTGGAATCTCATTTACTTCTGGTGTGCCTTTACATGTTTGTTGCTGCCATCTTTTTCTGGTACCTGGTATGGTATGAGTGGATGTGGGGAAACTCCCACTGCTTGTAACACAGTGAGTTTATACCATGGAAACATCCCATTCTTCTGGGCATTTTTATCTGTAGATCATCAAAAAGATGATTTTTCCCTAAGATGTACTCTCATTGGTAATAATAATGTTAGCTTATAAAGAGCTTTGGCGAGTAAAAATAAACACTAGGCTATATTTCACAGATAAGGCCTATGAATTCACCCAAGGAGCTGCTTTTGATCACAGCTACAGTTAATGATTAAGGAAAATAGAATCCCAAGGAGCCAGGCAGGCTCTGATTCTCTTAATGCTGAAAAGATGCAGTCACAGGTTTTGGTGTGCACCATTAGCTGAAACAAAGCTTCGAAATAACTTCAGGTTAGACCACATGCCTTGCTGATAGTTTTAAGATAATTAACTCCATAAAACAATCCAAAGCTCACAAGGACACACAGCTGAGCTGTCTGATTCTTTAGGCTAGGGTGATGAATACAAAACAGCCTGATCACTGCTAGCTGATGGATAATCAACTCCTTGCACCCATTCCTGACCTCAATTTTCTGGTATAAGAAACTATTGATGAATGGATATGCACCCTAAAGATTCAAAGTTCTTGAAGCCCATTCTACATAGAGGATACTCCTTCAGCCTAGACACATGGAGGAAGGCCTAGCCCCTATACCAAACGATATGAGAGATTGTGAAGACCCCCATGGAAGGCTTCAACCTCCCTGGGGAGCAGAAATGGTATTGGATAGGTAGGGTGTTAGTGGGGGGCAGGGAAGAAGTGCAGGGACTTTCTTCTGGCATTGACATATAAAACAATCTTGTTTTTAATTTAAATAAAAAATGGAGAAAAAAGATTCAAAGTTCAGCTGACTGTTTTTTATGTATAAAGGTTTAAGTTAGTGACTACTTTAAAATTCCTTCTAAGATTACCTCTCAAAATAGTAAAGTGATTGATTCTTTGTAACTACAATTTGCAGCCTGCCAACAAAAGAATTGGCTGAGAAAAAATGCCTCTATTAATCTGTGCCAAGTTACTTAGATCACAATCTGTGTGTGTACATATGTGTGTGTGTGCACATGTGTGTGTGTGTGTGTGTGTGTGTGTGTGTGTGTGTGTAAGCCAGAAGAGAGCATTAGGTCCTCTGGAGCTGACATAACAGGTGGTTGGGAGTTGCTGGCATGGATACTGGGAACTGAACTTGGGTCCTCTGAATGAGCAAGTGCTTTTACTCACTGAGACTTCTCTCTATTTCTAAACATATTAAAGGGCTCTTTACAGCACACAACTTATTCCAAGCATTTGGAAGGTAGAGATAGTCAGATATCTGTGAATTCAAGGCCTGTCTAGAGCATCTATCGAATTCTAGGGCATTTAAAAAATAAAGTTAAAAAATGTAAAAGTTCTTTCTTTTTTATTCTTTTTTTGGGGGCAAAGACTTTTAAATGAATATATTTTAAAAATACACTGGAGAATCATGCTGCCTGCATTGGATGCAATCCCGGGCCACAAGTCTGCACATTCCTTTGCAACTGGACCTGTGATAGCAGAGCCCTTCAGCTCGCCATTATTGTTTACTATGACTCTTGCATTGTCTTCAAAATAAAGAAACACCCCATCTTTTCTTCGATACAACTTTCGTTGTTGATTTACCACTGCTGGATGGACCTTTTTCCTTAGTTCCGATTTGCCTTTCTTAACTGTGACCATCACCATGTCGCCCATGCCAGCAAGGCAGTCCGTTCAGTCGTCCCTTGATGCCCTTCACAGAGATATACAATTTTTTTGGTCCCTGTATTGTCAGCACAGTTGATCACAGCTCCTACCGGAAGACCCAGGGAAATCTGAAATTTCGCTCCGGAGGACCCATCATGTCCTTGCTTCGACATCTTGGATGCTTGGAAAGAGTCAGAAAGCCTTTTTTTATTCTTAATCACATGTCTACCTTTGTGTGGGGTTTTTGTATGTCATCTCAGGTACTCTTGGAGGCCAGAAACTGGCCTTTCCCCATTAAAAAAGTCAACTTTTTTTTTGGAGACAGGATTTCTCTATGTAGCTTTGTAGATGAGCCTGCCTTTGCCTCCCAGATGCTACAATTAAAGGAGCGTGCCACCACTGCCCAGCAATTTCTTTTTATTTTTGATTATGTGTCTGTCTTTCTGGGGTTATGTGTGTGTGATCTCAGGTACCCTTGGAGATCAGAAACTGGCATTGGTTCTGCTGGCACTAATGATGTCAACATGTAGCATTGTAAACATAAAGCTGATCACTGTGATGCCACAGGGAGCATTGCGTGGTCACATTATGACCAGACCATGAAGCATAGTGATGACATTGGGACCCTGTGCTGGCACAATGTGGCATTGGGATGGAAAGAATGCTAAGGACTAATTCTGAGAGTGGGAAAGGCTTCTGCAGCCCTTGAGACAATGGCTGGCAATCCCACCCAGAGGAACCCTCCCAAGAGTTAGAGCACTGGGTTTCTGAGCCCAGCTCTCTTCATGCTTAGCTGAAGGACTCTGTCCACACTATCCTCCTCCACTTGTGGTTCCTCCTTTGTGCTTGGATGTGAGGAGGACCTGCCAGACCCAGGCCCTACAGCAGGGAGCTTAGGGTTAGGCACAATGAGGAGGAAGCCACCTCCTCCCTGCTTCTCCTTTTCCATCTCCCTCCACTTTCCTCCCCCTGTTGAGAATTAGCTCTTCAGGGGATTGAACTTCTGTGATGTGCTCCAGGGAGGGGCACTCTGAGGGCTGTGGGGATCCATCTGCAGGTAAAAGCTCCACAGCTCTTTGTGGTCCTCAGTTCTGTGTTCTTTTCCCCTGCTCTTGCCTAAACCCACTCACTGCCTCTGGGTGGACCCACTTTTCTTGTTTTTTGTCTGCTCACACACTTCTGTCCCTATGCTCAACCCACTTCATGAGGGAGGCTGCTTTTGTTCCCAGTTTTTTGATCCTAGCTCCCGCCAGTGTGAGTAGAACAACCATTTCTGGTTTTTCTTGTTCTTCCTGAGGTGTGTTTTTTGGGTTGGAGTCAGAAGAAGCTGAAGTTCCCAGAACCCTCCTCAGCATCCTGCTCAACAGCCACCTCAGAATCCTCCTCAGCATCTTCCTCAGAATCCTCCTCAGCATCATCCTCAGCATCCTGCTCAACAGCTACCTCAGAATCCTCCTCAGCATCTTCCTCAGAATCCTCCTCAGCATCATCCTCAGCATCCTGCTCAACAGCCACCTCAGAATCCTCCTCAGAATCCTCCTCAGCATCTTCCTCAGCATCATCCTCAGCATCCTGCTCAACAGCCACCTCAGAATCATCCTCAGCATCTTCCTCAGAATCCTCCTCAACATCGTCCTTAGCATTATCCTCAGCATCCTCCTCTGTAACCTCAGCATCCTTCTCAGAATCCACCTCAGCATCTTCTTCAGTATCCTTCGCAGCATCCTCCACAGTGAGCAGGGCTGCTCTCATACACGACTCTTCATCTTACTGCCACAGCCTTTGTTTCTGTCTGACTATCCCTATCTGGCTCCCTTTTCCCCCCTCTAATCTGGCTTTGGGGAAATGGGAGGTGACAATGGTACAGAATTAACAGAGTTCATTTTACTGGGATTCTCAGGTTTTGTTTTTGTCCAGAGCCATCTGTTTTGGGGTGTGCTGTGTATGTATGTGGTTACCTTGCTGGGAAACTCTCTGATCATCATCCTCACGCTGGCCGACCCAGCCCTCCACTCCCCCATGTACTTCTTCCTGCGTCACTTCTCCCTGGTGGAGATCCTCTACACCACTACCATTGTGCCCAGGATGCTGGCTGACCTCCGTTCTTCCTGCCCCACCATCTCCCGTGCCAGCTGCTTCACCCAGCTGTATTTCTTTGCCCTTTTTGGCATTGCCGAGTGCTGTCTGCTCACCGCCATGGCTTATGACCGATATGCAGCCATCTGCTGTCCCCTGCACTATACCACCCTGATGAACCAGGGAACATGTGTCGGCATGGTGGGGGCCTCTTACCTTGCGGGCATCATCTCTGGCACCACTCACTCTGTCTTCATCTTCACTTTGCCTTTCCGTGGTGCCAACACCATCCATCACTTCTTATGTGACATCTTGCCTGTGATGAGACTGGCTAGTGGAAACACTTTCTGGGCCGAAGTGGCAGAACTTATCATTACAACGTCTTTTATCTTTGTGCCCTTCTTGTTGATTGTGGCCTCTTATGCCTGTATTCTTGCTGCTATTCTTGGTGTTGCAACATCCCAGGGCCGTCAAAAGATCTTTTCTACCTGCTCCTCCCACTTGTTTGTGGTCATACTCTTTTTTGGGACAGGAACTGTTGCCTACATGAGGCCTCAGTCAGATTCTTTTGGGGACACAGACCAGATTCTTACCATCTTCTACACAGTTGTCACCCCCATGTGCAACCCTTTTGTTTACACTCTGAGGAATAAGGAAGTCACGGGGGCCATGAGGCGGCTCATGAAGAGATACCTTTGTGGTCCTTGACCATACATTACCTTCCTCCCAAGATCTTGGAGCTAAGGGCCTGATCCCTGGACGCTGTCGAGGAAGAGAGAGACCTGACACCTGTAGTCTATAGTGTGAAGTCTGTTGTATCTTAGGTGTTTCACCCAGTGTGGACATCCAAGACACAGGTGTATTGTTCAGAGCTGTGCTTCTGGGACCTGGTCTTAAGACCTTGACTGGGTTTCCCTGTAAGAGCAGAGCTGAGCAAACACACACTGGAACAGAGGTCAAGGTGAAGGCAGCTGAGACAACTTTGTGTGATGATGTAATTCCTGGTCATGGCTGAAGCTCCAATGTCTTCCTGGGGTTATGCTCTTGAGGCACCCATCTTCCTGCTTCTCTCAGTGAGTCCTTGTTGTAAGCCTTTCTCCCTGACATCATTCACATATGACATCTTGTCTCCACAATTCTTGTCTGAAGTTTGACGTGGCCTTCAGTTCTTGAAATGGCACTTGTTTCTTGCAACAAACTCTTCATTATTTTCACTTAGTGTCCACTTTCATTGTTGTCTGCCAGGGTTTAGCACATCTCCCTTCTCCTGGAAATCCAGTTCTTGATTGTTCATGAATCCTCCTTCAACTGTTAGTCTCAGGTCAGAGAAGCAGAGGCAGAGAATGTGTTCCCAAGGTATAAATGAAGGGCTTTTTACAGCTTGAGTTTCTTTCCCAGTTTTCAAAAAGTAACTTTGTCAGTTGCAAGAAATTTGCATACAGAAGAAAATATATTTATCAACAAATGTTAATAATGTCTGTGGGAAAATACTGTTACCTGCTTTTGCTCTGCATTTGTATAGAAACATATTCATAAAAATTAAAAATAAGATTGTATTGTCTAAACTGTGTTTTAACAGTCTCTATTGAATATTTGACATTATGCCATTACTCCTAGAGAGTAACTTTAATATCTCTGTTGTGTTCTACAGTATGAGTATTCTATAATCTTAAATAATGTCCTGTCATTGCAATTAACTTTTGTTATAGATATTGAGATAAACATACTCCCATATATCTGTATATTTCCCTACACTTTTTCTAGTACAACTCCCTTAAAAATATTGCTGAGTAAAATTTTTTGAAATACTTTGCCAAATTACCCTCTACAAGAATTTTTATTGCATTTTATAACCTAATTGAGGGCCTTTCCTTACAAATTTCATGCCAGGGACATTGTCTAAGGGTCAGGAAGGAGCTGATGTTAGACGACCCAGGGAAAGGAAGACTGAAGAAAGTATAGATAGATATTTAGAAAATTTCTTGAGATGGAAAGAGTCAGATAAATACACCCAGATGCATCAAGAAGTAACCTAGGAAACTACTTCAAGATAGAGTCAGTGCCTGAACAGTAAGAACACAAACTTAAGGTGGGCTTTTCAGATATTTTCAGATATTGAGCCCCCGGATTTCCTGAAGGCTCACACCTTTCTATGGTGATGGTAGGATTCTGTTCCCTTCTTCATAGACACACTTCTGTCTGTTATCTGTCATTCAACTATCTAATCTCACCATACAGAGATCCATGCATGCCCTTTGTAGACTTTCCAGTATCTATTATTCTGAAATAGTTGACACTAAGAAGGTATAATTGGTCATGAAATACTTTTCACCATTCGTATAAGAATTTTCTTTTTTTTAATGTTTATTTATTTATTATGTATACAGAACTGTCAGCATGTGTGCTTGCATGCCAGAAGAGGGCACCAGATCTCATTACAGATGATTGTGAGCCACCATGTGGTTGCTGGGAATTGAACTCAGGACCTCTGGAAGAGCAGACAGTACTCTTAATCTCTGAGCCATCTCTCCAGCCCTCGTATAAGAATTTTCAACATTACCAGTCTTTGTTGTTGTTTTCAGACAAGGCCCACAGTGTAGCCTTGGCTGGCCTGTAACTTGCTATGAGACCAGGCTGGCTGTGAGCTCACAGGGATTCACCTGCTTCTGCCTCTCAAATGCTGGGAGTAAGTATGCCTTATATGTCTGGACAGTTAGCTATTTTTCAGGCACAATACCTATGGTAACTATTATATTCATAAATGCAAGCAGTATTTGGGAACTATTACATCAATCAGTATTTAAACACTTCTCTAGTGGCATATATTTTATTTTCCTTATAATGTCATAGTAAAAAAATACAATGATTTTTCTATGTGGATCATTTTTCAAGTTTTCCCCAAAATTCACTTAAAAAATAAACAAACAAAAAACCCGAATTTACAATCCTAATATAATCCATGGTATCAGGAAGACTGGAGGCCCTGCCTTCAGCTGCTTCTCCCAGGAAGCATTCCAGGAACACCACACACTCATCATCAGCCATCAACCCTGAACACACACTCACATATTTATAAGTACTCACATCTGCATTTCTGCTGGTTTGTTTCCTCTTCCCTCCAGTCCTCCACTCCACCCCTTACTGAATCCCCAAATCACAGGGACTTTACCAGTTACTTCCTGACACTAGAAGCTTAAGCAACCCTGCCTCTGACCCTGTGATGAAGACAAGTATTATCTGAAGTAGGCTAGACGTTCTCTTTAATCTTTGATGCTCTGTAGTTGGGCATTGTAATGCAGTTGGACATTTGCTGTGTCCACTGTCCCTCATAGGTCTTGCTATGTGGCCATGTGGCATAGGATGGTCTTGAACTTGTATCAGTCCTCCTGCCTTAACTTCCCAAGTGGTTGTAAATATAGGAAAGAGGTACTGCATCAGATGACATTTTTCTCTCTTACTGAAGCTTCCTACATTTGTTCCACTCAATCCACAAATATTAATATCACCATGTTGTGTAATACAATGATCAATTTTCAGTCTTCATTTTATGCCATATCTTAACATTAATTGAGAAAATGACTTCATGAATTTGTCCTGTACTCAAATCTTTGGGTACTTGTTCTTAATTAGTGATTGATGGGGGAGGGCCCAGCCCACTATGGATGCTGCCACACCTGGGGGTGGGGTCCTGGGTTGTGAAAGA